ATATGCAAGAAAAAAGAAAAAAAAAATCAGAACAAAAAAAAGAAGTACTGGGAAAAGCCAAAAATAACAACTTATTGGAAATTTTCGCTAAGCCACCCCTATTATATTGTTGTTATATCACAAAAAGAAAGAGTAAACGTGCACAAACACAATTATGTTTGTGGGAAATGCGCGTAATCTTGGACCTATTCTAACTTAGTTAGTTATTAAGTTGGACCCGAAGAGACACAACAGTGTTGTAATGTATCCAGGCTCTGTGATGAGAGAGGAGGCTGTTTGGTGACATTGCAAGTTTAGTTAAGGATTAATGATATATTGTTCCCTTAAAATAAAAAAAAAACAACATTAAATTAATTTGCTCATTTTGCAGTAACATACATATATATGAGCATACAAATTATTGATTCTAAAAATGTGTACCCTGATTTTTATACTAGATAATGATAACAAATAATAACACTTTCACTGACTTGAAGTGTTTCTACAATTTTATGAAATTTTAATAAATTATGGGTAACAATTCTTATACACTAAATGATAATGATATTTGGGGGTATTTTACATTTACGCAACATCTCTTACGTCCATCACCGATCCTCTGTTAAAACAATAATTTGAAGATGTGTATACTGCAGAAACCAGCGACTGTAATCGAAACGTAGTAACAATTACTAACTCAATGATAAAACTACATTTACACTGTACTTGGCATGCCTGCTAAATGAAATAAACTAAAACGAACATTAACAAATTCAATTCTACGGAAAAATTACACTCCACCACCACAGCATAGAGTATATCTGTGCAAACGCAGTACCGGTATACACTTTTTTGTTAACATCTTATAAGAACGCTGAGGCTGAAATTGCTTAAAAATTAAGAACAAAATAAGAACAAATTGAGGCTGCGGTAAAATGTCAAATGAGGTTTTTATTTTGTAAAAACTAGAATTTTTTTTTTAAATCTGTGCAGTACCTTATGTGCAGTAGTTGTGACTACACCCTCTATAATACAGTACAGTAGGTGTACCTTCCTGTCATTTGGGGCCATTTTTACCGCAGCTTTTTTTTTGGAAAATGTTTTCCCGGGCCTTCTTTATTTCAGGTGCCTTTTTTTCCCGAGGCCACTTTTACCTACATTCCAGTACAGTGTATACTGCTGTAAGAACAAAATAAGAAAATTTTGAGCCTGATATCGGCCAAAAATAAAAACACCGAGCCTGGGCAAAATTGTACTGGTTCTTATATGTTGTGCACTGAGAATTAAGTTAACTGTTAGTGCGCCACCTATCGGTGCATCGTCGTGAACGACCATCTTACAATACAGAAAGTTTGCTGTGTTTTTGTTTGTGTTGTTTGAGTTCCGGAATTAAAGTAACTCACGCTGTTTAAAACCTATGTGTGTTATTTATTTATTGTTCTAAAACCTTCCAAGAACATAACATTATAAAAAACAAATATGTACTCAAAATATCATTAGCCGTGCTTGATTCAACTTGTTGCTCATATTCTTGCAACTGTTTCTCTCTTGCCCTTTAATTTCAAGTAATCATAAACATGTATTCATATCCAAACCTAACTTGATGTTGCTTTTAAATTCATTTAATGAAACAAACATGTAGCATGTCATTCTGGGTCACGACGAATTACGCCATGTTTGTTCAATCTCAGTTTACCTAGCCTAGTGACCTAGGCATCTTCAAACACAATGGTGTATTTGAAATACACCATTGTGTTTGAAAGGAAACCATGTGCACTAATACTTCGATTCGAACGCCAACACGGACGTGTTGAGAATGAATATACATATATAAATTGCTAACACTTATTATATCTTCTTTTAGTGCATTGAATATAACCCTGTCTTGGACAAAATGATGAGAATGGTAGGTTGGAAATTTCGCACATCTATAAATTTAACAAAGTGGTAAAGTTGATCTTATTTAAACAATTTCATAATAACAGCCAACTGAGATATACTGTCTGTTATGAGGTAAAAATTAGAAAATTCAATAAAATATTTAAATTTGCCTATATATTTTTTTTTTATTAAGTTATAAAAAGTCAATAAAAAGGGTGTAGGCCTGAGTGAAATTTCATAGACTTTTTGAAATAAAATGTCTTTAAATCAGCGAAAAAAGAATTCGATCTGTTTCTGATTTGAAGTTAATTTGATCCCTTTAAACCTAGACAGTATATCTTTAATAATTACAAAAAATCTAGCTATCTTGGACATGATTTATTTTCAGTTGTGTGTGTTACTGCCTATCTTGGTAATTACACAATCCAAGTATGCCGTAGCAATAAGATGCGTTTTAAAAAACAAGACATGTGAGTGTACTGATGCAGACATCGGAACCACTAATGAGGATCTGCTGTTAAACTGCAAAGGAGCAAAATCACTAGTGCTAACAGACGCTGAACTATCTGAAGAAAATTGGCCCAGTGGACTAAATCTTAAACCTACTGAAATCGTTAATTTGACATTGTCGAGTAACGCCTTTCAGACAATACCAACTAACCACCTACCTTACCAACTGCAAGTACTCGATCTTTCTGGAAACATAATTAACAATATTTCTGGGACTCCATTATCATGTTTTAAGGAACTCAAAATCCTCGATCTTTCTTATAATAACATATCCAATGTTGATGATGATGTATTTGACGGGCTGTGTGGGTTAGAAGAACTGTATTTAAAAGGAAATAGTCTCCATTATTTTAAGAATATTTACAGTGCGGTTAGAAAGGTTCCATCATTGATTATTCTGGATTTAGCAGAAAATCTTTTAGAAAACGTATTTATGCCGGTGTTACTAAAGAATCTCCAAGTTTTCAATTTAAGAAATAACACTATATCAGCGGTATCAGTCGACCGCTGTACATATAGATTACCGAACCTTCAAGAGATAGATTTGCGAAACAATAACCTGGCAGCGTTTCCAGTATCAATTGTAGATGATTTCAATAAAACAGACATCCTACTCGAAGATAATCCTATAGAGTGCCACTGCCATGTAAGCATCCCATTGATGAATGACGAGTGTATTTCTAATGAAACGATCATAAAAACGTTTAATTTTGTACAGAACTGTACAGAAATTCGTGACCGGCATGTACAGACAAAAACAGACTCTAAATTTGTAATCCTCTCATCTGGCAGTGAAGTCAGTAAGTGGAACGAAGTTGACAGCTACTGCAGCGACGAAACCCAGGAAGAGCAACTAAGAGGTCGGGTGACGGAAATTTGTTGGGATGTACCTGAAGATATAGGCCTATGCATGGAAAGTAGAGATCTGATCAAGGTCACAGAAAACGGTACTCTCAATTTGACCCTGGCTAGCCATTATGATATCTCAGGTTTATACTCATACAAAGAATACCATATTTGTCACGAGTGGTACATGTACACAGTAACCGGAAACGTCAGGTTCAAGGGAAACACATCAGAAACACAACAATGTTCCCCTGATTATTGCATGGAGTTCAATCATGGAGGACCTCCATGGTTCAATGAACCACCAGGATTAACAACTTTGCAAATTAGCTTCATTGTATTCGGAGGGTGCATATGTGCATTGGCAGTGTTTGCGGTGGTATTATACAGAATTAAAAAGTTAGAAAGCTCTGGTGGTAGTAGGGAAAGTGTGGAAAGGGAACTTTCTACCCAGGAACCTCCTCTATGCACTAGTGCCAACGACATCGACTCAGAAGTCGCTCGATCACAGACACGAATTTCTCTTGTAGTGATAAATGGATATTTGAACTATGGTTCATCACTGAATATAGATATCCAGTCCTCTGATATCCCACAGAATACAGCCGAAGCAATTGAACAAGGATACAGGTCTCTTTCCATTGACGAAAATGGCTACCTCATTATGAAACCAGATCTGGGAAAAGATCTTCCAGATGATCCTAATGGATATTACTCGTACATTCCGAACAAATCGGCGAATAAAGTTCTTGTTGATGTAGATGGATACCTCTGTGTAAATCCACCTGTACGTCCAATAACTGAAGATGGGTACACTTTCATGATTTTGAGAAAGGACCAAGGCGCATTGGGACAATTGACAATGCAAAAGAATAAGTACATTCAACTTCAGCTTACTAAACGGCACACTGAAGAAAATCATATATACTCTAAAATACAAACCACCTGGCAACTTCTTCGGTTTTGGGAGAATCAAGAGCAAAAACACAGTAATGAGGGTTAAATAAAAACACAATAAAACATTTGCAATATAACCGACCCTTCAATCGACGACCGACCAATCAGAACAAGTTCAGGATTACGTGCGCTGTTCCACAGATATACTCAATTCGGACCTTTAGCGAAGCTAAACCATTTGTATTCATTTTAGTATTCCTTTTGTAATGTTCGGTAGGAAAAAAAGTCTTCGTTATAATACTATTCAAAATGTCTTCCTTCATAATACATTTGGCGACTTGTATAAAATAAATTAAGTTACAATAGAACAAGATTCCCCTAACAGATTATGACAATGTATCAGGTTCGGAACCAATTTTTCAATGGAACTTCAGCGGCTCTAATTTGAGACAAGTAGGTACTTTCCCTTTAAAGGATCGAACAGCAAAGCAAATACTTGCAGTTCAACATTGTGATGAGATGATGAATAAGACTATTGTTGGTTTTGAAAAGATCCGTTTTGTTATAAGGATGCCTTGACGTCTCGAGTGACGTGATCTTAACTAACCAATAGTTCGTTCGCGTCTTACTGTATATGAAAGCCAACACGTACAGTAATTATATTTGTATTTTTGATGTTTGTATAGTTTTAAAATGTTATACAATCCTGAAGCCATCTTCCGATATCCTATAAAAACCTATTGCTAATGGTTGGAAGTGAATTTAGTACAAAAGAACACCAGTAGTTCACTACATGGCGCTCACGATACAACTAATACGCCTTTAACCTACATTTTTTTTCTCTATATGTATTGTGAATGTCGAATAGAGCTGCAATTTATTAAAAAGTAATGTCATCATAATTAAGACAGACAATTCGCGTAGGTATTTTTTCTTGTAGTTTTTTCTTTCTGTGAGGGTTATAATAACAAATGAAATCTTAACCAAATATATATATATATAAGA